GATGCTTTTCATGTGATATTGTCATTTTAATAAATGGCCTATTTGAAAAATAAAAACATATAGCTTTTACCTCTCATGAGTTATATAACTGAACTATGTAATTAACGAAATCACGTTTCCTTGACTTGTCAATTTTTTTTTATTTTTAGCATTGAGCAATACTTTTATGTAGATCGGCCCAAAATTGAGTTGGACTATCGGCCCACCGGGACAAGTCCCGGTATCCCGATAGGCCAATCCGCCCCTGGTGTTTGTTTCACTGTAGTTAAGCACAAAGCTATACAATGAGCTATCTGTGCTGTGTCCATAGCGGATATCGAAACCCGTTTTTCAGCGTTATAAGTTAGGAAACTGGCACAAATGTAGTATGTAGGTCATGTGTGTGCCAAATTACATTAAACTATTCGTTGTTAGAGATCGATACTTTGAGTAGCTGTTACTTTAAGATAAGAAGGATACTGAATAGTCACCCCAATAAACTCAAACCAGCTTGCTGAAAAAAAAAAAACAAAGAAAAAAGCATTCTCTTTCTTGGGATAACAACAACGTGAAATTTATATAAAAATACTAAGAAACAACATACAATAAATTACTATCAACGATTATTAACAAAAATTATCGTATTAATGATACACTAAAAACACGAACAGAGGCGTGCAGACCAGTTGTACAGTGGCCTCTGCAGATTGGAAGGACATTTTGATTGATAAGTTTGACCTTGGTGTTCTGTACGTCTTGTTTCTATGGGACTGGACGTTTGTTCTTTTCACATTCACATGGGATACTGTATATGTCCTGTTTTTGTTATTTTAATAGGGATTATTCGGGTTAGGTAGTAAGATGTTATTTTTTCGTGAAGGCTTGAATACAGTTTTTACATCAGTGCTCAAATTATTAAAAAGTCTAGTAATTTCGTTAGCAATTTCTGACACAAAAGGTAATGAAACAAATTTCTTGTGTTCTGCGTTGTTGATAGGTGAAAGGTTAGAGTTAACATAATATTTTTCACTGTTTTGATAAAAGTTCTATCTATGATATTGGGGTTAAAACCCCTAGATAGTGCTATGTTCTTTAGGTAGTTGAATTCAATAAATAAGTCGTCTTTGTGGATGCAAAGTTGTATAGCACGATTTATGTAGGTGAAGTAGGAGGATATTTTCTGTGATAGGTGGTGACGGAATGGGGTTTCCTGTATATACTGGCTGTAACTTCATTATATTCACATTTAAAAAGGGAAGACAACTGTTAGATTCTATTTCATGAATGAAAATTATGACACTGGGTCTTAATGTCCTTAAAAATTCAATGAAATTGAGTAGCGTCTCTTTCCTATGCCGCCGTATACTTAACATATCATCAATATGAAAGGTCAGAAAATACTTTGTGACGAAATTATTTTCCTAAGTTACAAAGTTAAAAAACAAATCTTCTCCACGTTATACAAATACAATAAACCCAGAACACCCTTTACTTTGAAACGTGACAAATCTCCAACTATAAGAAATCTCTCCGATGATAATAACATTTTTATAACACGCCCTTATAAAGGTAATTGAGTTGTTATCCTCAACAAAATCGACAATGTTAACAAATGCTACACATTCTGAGTGATACTACCACATTAAAAACTGAAACCGAAAGTCTGCAAGCCAGACTCCCCTCCCCCTTCGACCTATACTTTCTGTTTTGAACATTCACAGTTATAAGTTGGCAAAATTCGTGATACCTACCTTAAAGCCTCTCACTATCAATAAATATAGAACACCTTACTCTGGTGGCAGAATAAGCAGTTTAGGGGCCCCGGGACAAAGAAATGATCGAGGCTCCTTTTTTTCAGAAGATAAAACCAGGCCCCTAGGCATTGAGGCATTGCCGTGTCTGCCCCGCGGTAGTTTCGCCTCTACCTGACTTGTTCGCTTTACCTGTGAAATTAGTCAACTTCCTCCCCATAACAATTACATAATGGCTAGTTTCGATATTATATCTCTGTTCACCAACATTTCCCTTAACGAAACAATATGCATTTGTCTCCATAAACGTTTTAATTACACTACTTTAGTTAACAGATTGTCTAAATCCATGTTACACCTCCTCACACACATATACACAAATCATACATCGTTTTCCACAATACATAGATGGCGTTGCGATGGGAACTCCCACTAGGACTCACCTTTCCAAGTTGTTACTTTGTCACCATGAACACTCTTGGCTCAACACGTGTACTGTAGATTTCAAATCCGTCTATTACAGAAGGTATGTTGAAGATAATTTAATTATTTTTTGTCCTAACTCACACTTTCTTTCACGACATCCTTACACACAATTCACCCACAAAAGTACAGTTAACAACACTTTTTTCAGTTGTTTTGGTCACCCATGACTCCAACTGTTTTCTACTTCTGTCTACAGAAAAAAGAAATAATTTTATTGGCTTTTTCACTCAGTGTGATTGCTTCGTTCCGTTTAGTTACAAACGTAACCTTCTACAGTGTTTACTTAAAAGAGCCTGCAACTTTTGCTCCATGTACCTGTCTCTTCACACAGAAATTTCCTTCCAAAAACATCCTAAATCATAACCACTATCTAAAACGCGTACCCGAAAAATCGCCCACTTGTTTTTATCCAAAAAAAAGTGAACTCCTCTAAATAGGTCATTTTACTTAAATACTCAATTACGCTTATTTGCCATATACTGGAAAACAAAGCATTATTATTAAGAAACATCACAGATAAAAGTTAACCAATAGAATCCTCAAGTCGACCTTAAAGTGTTATTTAAACCTACCCTTAAAATAAAGAATTTTTTCCACAATTTCCGACTACCCATTTTCATGGTTCGTTTATTTGTACACGAGCGTAGACCGTACGGCCTCCTATGTTGGCGAAACTAGGCGCCATCTTAATAAAGTACAAAACAGGTACAAGAATCAGTAGTCTTTACTCCGCAATACATCAGCATAATGAACAAACGGAACATTCAATCACTTTAGTATTTCTACTACTGCTAAGTCTGAAACCGAACTTCCTGTAAAAGATACCTTAATTATTAAACAATTCCTTGACTATCTCAACAATACACAATCCTCATGCGACTTTGTTACGTTTTCTAGTTTGTTTTTGTTTTTATATCTACTTCTGTTTATCTGTTCTGTAATTATTCTTGTTTTCATTTCTAAAGATTACTGATGATGAAAACTTTGTTAATCTGAAACGTTTGATAAACGTGTTTTATGCACTTACGTTCGTATTTTATTTTGTGATATAGCTACGTTTTCAGTTTTATGAACCCGTCATTGTGGCAGTCTTTTATACCCAGTTAGAATTACAAACACCTGCTCTTAAAGAGCATGTTAATCTGTATATAAATCTCCAATTTTTATTGTTCTTAACTAAACGATTGTAGGTGATAACAATTATATCGTAATCCTGTTGTGTACTTAATTTTTAATTAATAACAAATTTCCTGAAACAACAATCTTTTAAAGAAAACTGTTCATATTATATGTTCACACTATTTTCCTAAAATTTACTATTAAAGGTCCGTTTGCCGATGAAATGACCTACTTAACGTGTTTTCTTTATGACGCCACAAACTAATTACTACAAAATGCCACCCTCCAGTGAACGCAGACACATGGAATGACGTTATAAGTTATTAATAGTTCATAAATTTTCAACACATATTTATAATCATTTAAATTATTACTTAGACACTAGAATATATCTTGTCGGGACCAACTTCATTATCAATTACCATGAACAAAAGGGAGCAATTTAATAATTTAGTGGATTAATTAATATAAGTAATATTAACAAGAAATATCCAACTGGGATCAACAAATAGCTTATGATCCTTAATATTATCCTATGACATTAGAACAAGACCTGGCATACCTCACTATTAACAACAAAACTGAGTTTTGAGTGACTTTATGCAGAAACTCAAGAAGGTATACTGTTGTTAAGATTAATGTCCAATGACTAAACAGAGAGATACCACTCGTGTTTATACTCCATTGGTGAGCATGACAATTCAGTTACTTATGACTAGTAGAAGTTACTCTCACCATATTCATGAGCTGCTTATATCCATTGTTAGTTACTTATAAATCAAATCTAAGCAATATATTTCTTTAATATACATTTCAAGTTTAAAACTACCATGGTTTGACTGACAGGAGAGTTTCAATTTGCATCTTGATAGGGTAACGGTTTTTAATCATAGTTTTCTGTTACTTTGTGTTTTAACTTACATTATCGTTTACGCAATTATATCACTGAAGAATTTTTTTATAACATTAGTATCTTTTTCATCAGTTACTTGTAATATCATTCTTATTATAAAATATAACTCATTTGTAAGTTACACGTAATCAATAAGTTATTCTAAAAATTGTTATACAAGAAACAGTAATTTATTGAATTATTAATGAGCTTCTCGCGGCTATTGTTAGTTATTCATAAAATACTTTAAAGGATGAGTATTTATCTAAGAGGAACCTTTTAGTAATGTGGGTGTATTTGTCATTTATAAAAGTATAAGGAATACGTGTGAGGTTCACCCTGCAAGTTTACCAGTCAGTCAAAGCTAAACATTGTATCACTGTCCTATCCATTTAAAGTTTAAAATTATCACATTTTCATTAACAGGCAGAACTACCAACTCATGACTCTAATTTAGTATTCACTTACGTAAGTTTAAATCATGTGGCTATAGAGGTCTTGCACGTGACATCACAGAACTTCTTGTTTCTTTCAACATCGCCATATTTGACGTCAAACATTGACTTATAGCTATCAGTCATGCCAGTACAATATTCGGTAAAGCTTGTTTACATTATATCAATGGTATAAAAATTGCCTTTGGCAAAAGAGAGGTATCCGAAAATCTACGGCTATTCAGTTTCTCTATTTATCTTTCTTTATGCTTTGTTTGTTTTTTTAATTTTCGCGCAAAGGTACACGAGGGCTAACTGCGCTAGCCGTCCCTAATTTAGCAGTGTAAGACTAGAGGGAAGGCAGCTAGTCATCATCACCCACCGCCAACTCTTGGGCTACTTTTTTACCAACGAATAATGGGATTGACCGTCACATTATAAGGCCCCCATGGATTAAAGGGCGAGCATGTTTGGTGTGACGGGGATTCGAACCCACGACCCGTCAGATTGCGAGTCGAGCGCTCTAACCACTTGGCCATACCAAGCGTTTACTTTACGCATTGGTGCCTGGCATGGCCAGG